ATGTACTTCCTGCCGTTGACGATCATCGTCGCTGCCCACGCGTCCATCTTGGTGGAAGATGTGGCGCAAGGCACGCGACTCAAAAGCGAGACGAAGCTGCCGCCCGCGGCTGTAATTCGTCAACCGCCAAACTACCCATTCTTTGGAAAGTAAAGGTAAAAGTAATTACAGGAGTACTATCCATCACAACAATCTGACATGACAGGTTTTATAAAATCATCAAACAGAAAAAGAAAGAAAACTGTAATTTGATAGCTGACACATAAAAATTTTAAACTAAAAAAGTAGAAACTGTAATTCGGATAGCTATCATATTAAAACTAAACTTAAAAAAAGTAGAAACTGTAATTCGCTATTCACCACTCATGTACCATTAGTAATTAGTAATAAAACAGAAGTTTCCTATATTATCCACAGGTAATAATCAACATAATAACTTTACTCATATTCCACACAGTTTCCAACATGAACGAGACAACATTCCTCGCAGGAACGCAGTCAGGTGCGGAAACACCGCGATCACGCGTCATCCCTCCGCCGCTCGATATGAAATGCATCGAAAGAGCCTGCATACGAACCCCTCAAAATGACAGCTGTGATTGTATCATCTTCCTGTCTGTTGACACCCTACAATGACGCTGTGGTAAATACCCAACCACCAAATTAATCCTTATTATTTCCTCTTTAGGTGTAAACTTTACTTGTTTAACTTTGATTTTATTTCTCCCTCCGTTTCCAAGCACGCAAATTTGATTAACGCTTGGACTTGTATTATTTTTGTAAATTACTTCCTGTGTGTTAGGTACATGTTTGATCGCGAGAGCGCCCAAAGAGTTCGTATGTGGCTCCAGGACGGATTGTTTATGATGGCGGTGTCGAATAGTTAGTATGAATCCTTTGGTCTACGGCCGATACAGCGTACAAACTGCCGCTGCCGGGGACGCGCGAACAACGCGCTGGCGTTTATTTTGGCTGCTTCCCTTTACGTTCACAAAAAGCACGCACGCAACGTATCAATAATCGAGCTCGAGGATCATCAATAAACGCAGACACTACGGTGTTTCCCAAGCAACATATAAATGCGAAAGTCCTGATGTGTGTGTTACACTTTCACGCAAAAACTACTTAACCGATCATCATGAAAATTTTAGAAGTATATATTCTTAGTGGTCCCCTGATTGGTTATAGGCTACTTTATTTAATAAAAAATTGTTTTTTAAATAAAATAAAAGAAATAGTTTAGCCAATAACCCTCTGCATCTTATTATTTGACTACTTTAACGCTATCTAGCATTCCAGCAATGAAGTCTAAAACCTCCAAGTACTATAGTACCATCACACTGTATCACACTGTATTACCGGATAGCTACGCCAACATCAAATCCAATTGACTACACTATGGAGACTGTACACCACTTCCATAGACTATACTTTCAGCCATATTTAAACTTCCGCCATTCTACTCTTCACTTATAATCCTATAAGTTTATATAGTAGGCAACTTGTTATACACTATAATGTATATTTGGTTGCAGTTACTGGTAGGAGGGATATTACCAATGACAAACTTCATGCCTGTTGACGAAAAGACCTCATCAGAAATTCACATCCCAGGGACTTAAGCTACGAGTGGGTGGAGATAACCAGTATTAATGAAGTAGCCATGGTTGAAGACAGCGGAGCTGGAGGTGGAGAGGATGAGGGATTACAAGCGCAACTCGGTGTCGGTCTCTGTCCTTAAGCAGCGTGCGTTTTCATTCAGCAGTATCACAACCACGAGCGGATTTCCACGCGGAACACGAAATTACGACCATAATTCAAGTACAGCGGGTTGAGGACGCAAAGAGTGAAAGTGGAAAAGTTCGAAAAGTGTGCTATCGATGAGAAATTCATTTATCACAGATAAAATGTTCTACCCCTAGGTACTAAATGTGATATTTATTATAGTATTAATAGAATACGGATTTAAAAAATTTATGCGGAAAAATTCAAACTTTTTGAAATATTTACTGTAAATTAATAAAAGAGAAATGTTTTTTATATTTTATATGTATATTTACTTCATAATGTGAGCATTATTTTATCATTTTTATTTGCGTCATTAATCATCAAACAGGCAACACAAGAAAAAAGTCGCGAAATGTGAAAGATATGCGAAAAAACTTTTATTTTTTTATTTATTTTTATTCACAAATTGCTTTTTAAAAATATGAAAATATTCATCGGGTGGAAACCCTTAAACAAGATTATCGACCTCAATAAATATTTTAGAAGGTAAAATATGAATAATAAATTGGTTAATCATCAAAATTAATTTGATTTAGAAGAAATTTTAATGAAACAAGCCTTCCTGATTTCCTGGTGAAGACATAATTGATAAACAACAGGAGAGTAAAATATCTTTTTATTATCCTTGTTATTTACTGTGTCTATCCTTCAACATTGTTATTCTATATTTGGTGTTATAAATTTATATTTCTTTGTACTTCAGATATGATTCTGTAAAATATATAATATACTAGTTTTATCCCTTGGCTTCGCTCGCGAATATCTGAAATAATGAAGCGCCTGTACGCGTCTGGAATACAGAAGAAGTAACAATGAAGTAGAATGTATGGGAAGTTTAAAATGGCTGAAAGTATAGTCTATGGTGCTAGAAGTGTACAGTCTCCATAGTGTAGCCAATTGGATTTGATGTTGACGTAGCTGTCGGTAATACAGTGTGAGCATACAGTGTGATGGTACTCATAGTACTTTAGGGTTTGAGCTTCATTGCTGGAATGTGCTAGATGGCGTTGAAGTAGTCAAATAGCCAGATGCAGAGGTAGTTATTTAAGTAAAATATTTATATTTAAAAATAATTTTTTTTATTAAATAAAAAGTAGCCTATAACTATTCGGGGACCACTAAGAATATGTGTACAATTTTTCATGATGATCGGTTAAGTAGTTTTTGTGTGAAAATGTAACAAACATCAGGACTTTTGCATTTATAATATTAGTAGGGATTTTTATTCCATTTAAACTTGAAATTCCAGTTTAATAATATTTGTGTATTAATTATTTTGATTTTTGCGATTTGATCCCAGTTGCAACCCGGAATTGTTATTATATTTAATAAATAAACATATATTTATATTTATTTCTATTTATTTATTTGGGAATTTCATCTAGTTCAATGTTTTACGTGCTTGAAATATGAATAAAACACAAAATTTGTATTCCATGCAATAAAAGAGAAAAAATTAACTTTTCCACTTTAAATCGTCCTTCACATGCGTAAAAAATTCATGTTGAGTACATTGAGTACATTGACACAGCGTTTTTCTTTGTCTTTAATATTTTATTTCAATTTGTGTCACTTGACACTTAATTTTTTGCTATTTCTGTTGCGAATTTAATAATTCATGGAAGAGACGTGTTTATTTCGGAGACACAAAATCATTTTAATACATTTTTTAGTTTTTCTTTTCTTTTCTTCTTAAATATTTTATGAAAATAGAATTGTAATGTTTTTATTTTTAAATTTTGTAAATATTTGAAAATAAATGTCAAATAAATTTGGTAATATAATTGGTTTGGTGGTAAATAAACTTGTTTATTACATTACTGTAATTTTAATTAATAAATGAAAATTCATCTAAAATTAAAATTGAATTAACTTGAATGACTCGTTCGGAAATTGAAAGCAAAGCATTTCATGTGCAATAAATACGCGCAAGCGGAAATAGAAACGCATTTTGGTTCATTGTTTTGCTTCATTCGTGAATATTATCTTTGGTTGTTTATTAGAGTCATTAATATGCTTTATTACCACTTAAACTTGAATAATGTATTGTATTTTAACACGTTAAATACGTTATTATTTAAAAGAAAAGAAAAAACGTAAAGAAATATTTTTTTGAAAAGTTGAAGTTTTAAACACTCTGTATTTACTGATTGCGTGGGTTAATTTCTATTCTGTTTTTGGCATTATATACCCGAAGGTTTGCTTAAAATAATAGACACATTTTACACTCCGATAAATATCAAGAAATGGCTTTAAATTTGGGTCAAAATTAACAATTTTTTGGTAATTTACAAAAAATCGATGTGAAAAACACCCGGTATCTTTTGAACCCGTGCATCAATTTTAATTTTGTTTATTTTAAATTAAAGCCGAAGAGTGGTTTAATTAAACTACCGAGTTTCGACTAATTAATATAACCGGAAGTATCCGTAAATCATAGTTGAAATTGAGTGTTTTTTAAAAATTTCAAAAAAATCGTTTTGAAAAACACTCTGTGTCTTTTAAATCCTGATGCTAATAATAATTTTGTGTATTTCAAATTAAAGCCAAAGAGTTGTTTAATTAAACTACCGTTTTTCGACTCATTAATATAACCGGAAGTATCCGTAAATCATTGTTGAAATTGAGTCTTTTTTAAAAATTTCAAAAAAATCATTTTGTAAAACACCCCGTATCTTTTGACTCCTTATTCTAATATTAATTTTGTGTATTTCAAATTAAAGCAGAAGAGTTGTTTAATTAAACTGAGGTGTTTCCGGTTCTCTCAAGTGGCAGGAAGTGTCCTTAAATCCTTATCAAAATTGAGTATTTTTCATTAATTAAAAAAATGAATATAAAAATAAAAATCTCGTTTTTTTTCCTTTTTTAACGTATTAATTACCATATTATTATTAATAAACACTAATAAAAAATAATAAACCACCCAACAATAATACTCGAATCATAAAACACCCATAGAAATCAAAATTACGCACGTAAAAGCACTGAATGAGCAAAAAGCGAAGAACGCAGGACTCAAAGCTCGCACAAAGCTCGTCCTGCAGCCCCCCTTCTTGCCGAATCCTAACCAGTTGCTGGCGACGCGGCGTCGAGCCAGGACACGCACTTCCCACGCTCCTTTCATCCCCAAAAAAACACGAAATTTCCCACCAAGACGCGCAAAATTCAAAAGTAAAAACTAAAAACAAAACCAAAATATATTATATTCCGTAATGTATAGTTTGTACGAGCCGAGTGCAAACAATGCGAGTGCGGCACGCATGAGTGAAAGTGGCCAGGCCGTAAACGGAAGTATGTCCTGGGAGAATCGCGAGTTAGTCGAGCGGCTGAATCCGGATGTGGAAATGCAAACGCCGTCGAATGATACGCTATCGGTGCCCGCATTTGACGATCGTGCATTGGTCGGGGTTATTATCTACGCGTGTGTTTTTATTGTTTCTTCGGTGGGCAATCTTACGGTTTTCATCAGTATGTGTCGCTCGAAGCGGAGGAAATCGAGGATCACGATGTTGATTATACATCTTGCTGTTGCGGATCTCATTGTTACTTTCATCATGATTCCGTTGGAAGTAAGTTGGAATTCTTTTTATTCGAAAGCAGATAAATATTTATTTTAAGTTAATTAATGTTTAATTTAATAGAAAAAAGTGTTTTTTGGGCTTAAAATATTAAAATTTTATATTTTTTGTTTTAATTTTGGGTTTAAAAGCTAAAATATGTTTTTACCGCCATAGGGCATTACTTAAATTAATAATAGAGTTGTTTTTCTTTTATTTTATTCATTATTTATCATGATTTTATGTTTTAATACCAAGAAATAAATAAATTTTGTTTGCTTATTAAATTTTATACATTTTAATAGATTTTTACTTATTTTTGTTTTTATTCGACTGCTATAAGCGTACTAATTGCGTTTGAAATGCTGTAATGCTTTTGAATGATTAATTAGTTAATACTTTANGAGCGGCTGAATCCGGATGTGGAAATGCAAACGCCGTCGAATGATACGCTATCGGTGCCCGCATTTGACGATCGTGCATTGGTCGGGGTTATTATCTACGCGTGTGTTTTTATTGTTTCTTCGGTGGGCTATTTGCGGATCTCATCGTTACTTTTATCATGATTCCGGTTGGAAGTAAGTTGGAATTTTTTATTCGAAAGCAGATAAATTTTATTTTTAGTTAATTAATGGTAGAATTTAACAAAATTGTTTTTTGGGGGTTAAAACGTAAAATTTAATCTTTGTTTTAATTTTTGAATTGAAAGGCTAAAATGTGATTTTACCATATAGGGGCATTACTTAAATTTATAATAGAGTTGTTTTCTTTTCTTTTGTTAAAATTACATTTATTATGATTTTTATGTTTTTAATACCAAAAATAAATAAATTTTTGTTTTATATTAAGTTTTATACATTTTTAATAGATTTTTTGACTTATTTTTTTTGTTTTATTCGACGCTGCTATAAGCATTACTGGTACGTTTTGAAATGCTGTAATGCTTTTGAATGATTAATTAGTTAATACTTTTATTTGTTTATATATATAATTTTATAATTTTATGTTATTTTATGAGTAATTAGCTAATAAATTAATAATTAAACAGAAAAAAAACGCATTTTTCTGTGAAAATTTGTATTTTTTTGTTAGTTTGAAGCAAAATTTCAATATTTTTATTATTTAAATAAACATAATCTAATGCAGAATTTTATTATCTATCTATACACAAATTAATTATTTATTATCTCTTTTAGTTTAGAAGTTACACGCGATTTATCAACATTTTCTATTTTTACATTTCATCAACTTCAAAACTCAATTTTTTGTTTAAAAAATTCCTACAAGAGTACTAATTACGTTATAAAAGTTGTAATACTAATAAATTATTCATTACTTAATACTTTAGGTGTTAATATATAGTCTTTCTCAATTTTATTACTTTTTAACCTTTAAATTAATCTTTAAACAACAAAAAACATTTTTTTGGGGAAAATTTATACTTTTTTTGAATTTTCATATTTTTATTATTTAAATGAACATAATCTAATGCAGAATTTTATTATATATCTATATAAAAAAGAATCAATTATTTATCTCTTATAGTTTAAAAATTACGCGCAATTTATCAACATTTTCCATTTTTACATTTCATCAACTTTAAAACTCAATTTTTTGTTTATAAAATTCCTACTAGAGTACTAATTACGTTATAAAAGTTGTAATACTAATAAATAATTAATTAGTTAATACTTTAGGTGTTAGTATTTAGTCTTGCTATATTTTATTACTTTTTAACCTTTAAATTAATGTTTACACACCAAAAAACATGTTTTTTGTGAAAATTTTAATTTTTATTCCAATTTCCTCCCAAATTTTAATACTTTCATTATTTAAATAAACATAATCTAATGCAGAATTTTATTATCTATCTATATAAAAAAGAATCAATTATTTATCTCTTATAGTCTAAAAGTTACGCGCAATTTATCAACATTTTCCATTTTTTCAGTTCATTAATTTCAAAACTCAATTTTTTGTTTAATAAATTCCTACAAGAGTACTAATTACGTTATAAAAGTTGTAGTACTAATGAATTATTCATTAGTTAATACTTTAGGTGGTCATATATAGTCTTGCTAAATTTTATTACTTTTTAACCCTTAAATTAATGTTTAAACAGCAAAAAACATTTTGAAATAAAAATTTACAATTTTTTGTATTTCCACCCGAATTTTAATACTTTTAATATTCAAATAAATAAAATTTAATACAGAATTTTATGCTGTATCTACACAAAAAATATAATTGTTTATCTCTTTGTATTAAAAAGTTATACGCAATTTTGCAACAAAACATAAAATGGATAATCATTTCAAAACAATGTTTCCCTTCAATATTTATTAATTAAAAATATTCCAAGCAAAGTAATGTTTACTCTAGTTTAAAAAATAAAATCCTCAAGTTCCAATTCGATTTGCATCCAACCTTTAACCTTAAAGACGAAAAGACTAAAGACTAAGTTTAATTTGATTTGTGATTACTTCCTCGAAACCGGATATCTCACAAATCTAATTTTAAATTTATTGGATACACTTTATAAATATTTTTTCCTCTTTCAAAAGTAATTACCTGAGATACGAGTACATTAACAATACGCAAACAAAAGAAGCACCGATGTTCCGGCTGTGCTTTTTCCGATCACGAAAATAGCACGAGTTTGCAATCTAATCGCACTGCGTGCGTGTCCTTGTCCTCGTCGTCCACTCCTAGCTGAATAGAGTCTGAAAGGATGCGCCATGCACCCACTTGTCGAGGACGAGGCCACACTGCTTGAGGGTGTTTACACTTGTAGATAGCTTTCAAGGAACGGAAGGGTTTTGATCAGCGATAAAAATGTTAAAAAGAATTAAAGGCTTTGATGTTTAAATCAACATGAAAGCTCATTAGCCAAGGTGTTTTAGTTATCTTTTGATGTGAATTGTAATGTTAAGTAAGCATTAACCTAATTTTTATTTGTGGTAATGCGCTACCTACGCAACCCAACACACACGCAGTGAATAAATCATATTTTTCTGTGGAAATTTGTAGTTTTTTGGAAATTTCAAGCAGAATTTCAATAGTTTTATTATTTTATTAAATATAATCTAATGCAGAATTTAATAATCTCTCTATTCTAGAAAGAATCAATTGATTATCTCGTTTAGTTTAAAAGTTATGCGTAATTTATTAAAGATTTGCTCTTTTTCCATTTCTTTGACTTCAAAACTCAATTTTTTGTTTAAAAAATTCCTACAGAGTACTATTAACGTTAGAACTGTTGTAAAACTGTTAAATGATTAATTATTTAATACTTTTTTAGTTTATATATAAGTTTGTGTTATTTTGATATGATTCAGGTAATAAATTAATACTTAAACAGAAAAAAACGCAACTTTTGGTGAAAATTTGCACTATTTTGATTATTTCACTCAAAATTTAAATATTTTCATTATTTAAATAAACATAGTCTAATGCAGAATTTAATAATCTACCAATAAAAGAAAGAATCAATTGATTATCTCTTTTAGTTTAAAAGTTATGCGCTATTTATCAAAGAATTTCTCTTTTTCCATTTCTTCAACTTCAAAACTCAATTTTTCGTTTAAAAAATTCCTACAAGAGTACTAATAACGTTAGAACTATTGTAATACTGTTAAATGATTAATTTGTTAATACTTTATTAGTTTATATATAATTTTGTGCTATTTTGTTATATTTAGCTAATAAATTAATACTTAAACAGAAAAAAAACAATTTTTCTGTAAAAATTTGCACTTTTTTGTTTATTTCAACCAAAATTTTAAAATATTCTTTATTTAAATAAACATAATCTAATGCAGAATTTAATAATCTATCAATACAAGAAAGAATCAATTGATTATCTCTTTTAGTTTAAAAATTATGCGCCATTTATCAAAAATTTGCACTTTTAGCATTTCTTCAACTTCAAAACTCAATTTTTTGTTTAAAAAATTCCTACAAGAGTACTAATTACATTCGAACAGTTGTAATACTGTTAAGTGATTACTTAGTTAATACTTTATTAGCTTATATATAAGTTTGTGTAATTTTGTTATTAATTAACTAAAAAATTAATGCTTAAACAAAAAAAAAAACACAATTTTCAGTAAAAATTTTAACTTTTTTGTTAATTTGAAGCAAAATTTCAAAATATTTATTATATAAATAAACATAATCTAATGCAGAATTTAATAATCTATCTATATAAGAAAGAATCTATTGATTATCTCTTTTAGTTAAAAAATTACACGCAATTTATCAACATTTTCTCCATTTCCACTTCTTCAACAACAAAATACGAATGCTACGAGTATTTCTATTAAAGCCACGAAAAGCTCACGAAAGCTCAAAAAAGCTTAATAGACGGATATCGAACAAAAGAGAAGTGCCAAATGTGTGCTACCCTCATGAATACAAATTAAACATGTGATTTATACCTCAATCATTACTTGTCACAAAAGTATGTCAAACAAAGTTGCCTAACTCACGAATTACATTCATCAAAACATTAAAATATTAATCATACGTATAAATTAGAAATAAAGATTCCAAGAAATAAATTTACATATGCTCAGTTCCCAGTGCACATGTGTATATTAAGTAGCATATATTACTGCAACCAACTTCACACAAGGTTGCCTAGGGTGATATGCAAATACACAACCTGGAATAATGATAGAAAAATAAAAAAAAGACCAAAAGCTAATGTAAGCAAGCACGACGGGCAAAAAAATAGCACCGTCAACGTATTTTTCATTGCAGGCAAAGCCGAATCGATAATAATACGTGCGTTCCGTAGATAATGAAAAATTGGTCGGTTGACGCACCTATTCGCATTCAAAAGGATTGCGTTCGCTTTATTGAACCAACAAACGACACAAAAAAGAAATTGAAAGTGAATTAAACACATTTACATTAACATGTACAACAATGAAAAACACCCAAAAAAAAAAAAACAATAAAAATTAGTACGTTATAGATTTCACTGTGAATTTGTATTAAGTGCCTAAATATTATTCAAATATTGACGGATAATTACAAATTCATCTATTGTTTGCACACGGATTTAGCTTTATGTGAGCTTTGGTCAATGCAAACACATTTCGAATATTTGCCGTTGGGAAATTCAAATTTCCACGAATTAAATGCTTAAAAATAGACGCGCAGCGTTAGAAAACGCATTCAAATATTAGTTTTAATCGTGTGTGCGCGAGAGCAGATTTTTTTTGCTCCGACATGGTGCACTCATGAAATATTCATCAAAAAACGCGATTTTTATTTGCCGCGCACGTGTCACGACAGGTAATCAAGCGAATTGAATTTCGATTGGCCTTGAAACGATAATTTTATGTAAATCGATTGATTTAAAGCTTTAGGGCAGCTTAAAACGTGCCAAATTTATTATTACGACTACGCATGACTAAAACTTTACAAATTACATTCGAATTAATACGACAACGTGAATAAAATATAAAAATTTTGAGGTTACGTTGAAATTCCGCGAATATTTCTGATTTTTGGAATGTGCGCTGAGAAATCCTAAATATGCGAAACATGTAAAACATCCAAAGCTTATATTTTACCTTCTGGACGTTTTAAATACAAAATAAATTTATTTTATAACAAAAAATATTAAATTTTTTTTATTGCGCATGCGCAGTAGTGTAAATATAGCTAAATATATTCAGGTTATGTTATTATCTAATGTGACGTGTAAGCACTTAATGTATTTCTGACAGAATAACCTTCGGCGAGTTATTTCCTCCTTCCGGCTTGGCCATTAGCGATGGCAGCAGCCAGACACCCGGAATAATATCGTTCCGGCATTAATGCACTAGACACGCAAGCTTTAAAGCTTCAAACTCTCCAGATGACACACAAGTAATAGTTCTATGTGTGTATTGCAATACATCCCTACTAATATTATAAATGCGAAAGTCCTGATGTTTGTTACACTTTCACGCAAAAACTACTTAACCGATCATCATGAAAATTTGTACACATATCCTTAGTGGTCCCCGAATGGTTATAGGCTACTTTTTATTTAATAAAAATAATTATTTTTTAAATAAAATAATGAAATTGTTTAGCCAATAATACCTCAGCATCTGGCTATTTGACTACTTTAACGCCATCTAGCATTCCAGCAATGAAGCTCAAACCTAAGTACTATAGTACCATCACACTGTATTATCACACTGTATTACCGACAGCTACGTCAACATCAAATCCAATTGACTACACTATGGAGACTGTACACTATACTTCCATAGACTATACTTTCAGTCATTTTCAAGTTCCCGCCATTCTACTTCATTGTTACTTCTTCTGTGACTACAGACGCGTACGGAAGCAACTTCATTATTTTAGATATTCGCGAGCGAAGCCGCGGGTTAAAGCTATAAATCATGTAAGAGTAATTTTTGTTTATATGTTTGTATGACGGGTTGCGGGCTGGTTTCGTCAACCGTAAAACAATTTGCTCGTTTCTTATGTGTTGTGCACCGGAATGTAACAATATTTATTCAGTGCGTAAACATTGCGCTGAAATGAAATTCATTGCATTTCATTCGGCACGCGCAATAAATATTATGAGCTTTGAATACGCGCTGTACTCGACACAACAAACACGAATCGCGCAACGGTGCATCGGTAAATATATCAATGGCCGCCCACACCCTTTGCCGCCCTCGCATGCCCGAGTCTATTTGTTCATGCGAACGTGATGCAATACTTGGTAGACAATATTTGGTTCAAATGCATGTTGCCCACAATTTAATTTGTCTTTAGCTGGAAATTATTAGTGTTTTTATTTTTAGTTAAGGTTATGTTGTTTGATTATTTACCATGGTGACTGATGTCAGAGTAATGGAGGTAAATTGAGGTTAAGTTCGGTGTGTTGCATATTTGTATGCAGAAAATTCATGGGTAAATTAAGCGGATTTAATTGGTTATTTGAATCGGGGCTTCAGTAAAACGCAAATTAAATCAGCATTACCGCTAATTACGCGCATTCATTGCGTGGTATTCAGGATTAATGCAGAATTAGGATATGCGAGTATTTCTGTGTCAAAGCTTGTCGTATGAAATCTGTTTGAATCTGTTTTGGTGGATTTTAATTGCTTTTTGTTTGGTTTTTGATTAAAATGCTCTTATAAACAGTTTAATTCGGTTAGGAATGTGGTAATGCGCTTAAATAGTTTGATAAATGATAGTATATTTAATTATTTATAGTTTTATGTTTTTTTGTTATTATTTATTCAGTGAATTAGTGTTTAAATAGGGAAAAGAAGATTTTTTGGTTTTTTCTTTCACTTTTTTGTAATTTTCAGCCAAATTTTAATACTTTTATTATTTAAACAATTATAATTTAATGCAGAATTTTTTTATCTATCTATATGCAAAAACATCAATTATTTATCCCTTTTAGTTTAAAAGTTATGCGCAATTTATCAACATTTTCACTTTTTCTCATTTTTCCAACTTCAAAACTCAATTAATACAATTAATACAAGAGTATTAATTTCGCTAGAAATATTGCAATACTGTTAATTGATTAATTAGTTAATACTTTATTTAATTATTTATAGTTTTGTATTATTTTATTATTATTTACCAACTAAATTATTATTTAAACCATCAAAAAACACATTTTTTGTGAAAATTCATACTTTTTTCAATTTTTCGCCTAAATTTTATCATTTTTTTAATTTAATTAAACATAATTTAATGAAGAATTTTATACTCTATCAATATATAAAAGAATTAACAATTTATCTCTTTTAGTTAAAAGTTATGTGCAATTTATCAACATTTTCGTTTCTTTTTCATTTCTCGAACTTTAAAACTCACTTTTTGTTTAAAAAATTCCTACAACAGTATTAATTGCGTTAAAAATATTATAATCTTGTTATGTGATTAATTATTTAATACTTTCTTTAAATATATATAGTTATGTATTATTTAATTATTATTTAACATCTAAATTATTATTTAAACAAAGAAAAAACACTTTTTTTGTGAAAATTCATACTTTTTTTCAATTTTTTGCCTAAATTTTATAATTATTTAAATTTAATCAAACATAATTCGATGAAGAATTTAATACTCTAAACAATTTATCAACATTTTCGTTTCTTTTTTCATTTCTAGAACTTTATAACTAATTTTTTTGTTTAATAAATTCCTACAACAGTATTAATTGCGTTAGGAATGTTGTAATCTTGTTATATGAATAATTATTTAGCACTTTTTTGAATTATATATAGTTCTGTATTATTAAATTATTATTTAACATCTAAATTATTATTTAAACAAACAAAAAACACATTTTTTCGTAAAAATTCATACTTTTTTTAATTTTCCAGCTAAAATTTAACATATTTAAAATGTTTCCATACATAATTTAATGAAGAATTTTATACTCTATCTACACAGAAAAAAACAACATTTTATCTCTTTTACTTTAAAAGTTACACGCAATTTTCCCGCCTCTTGCATTTCTCCAACTCCAAAACTCACAACACCTCAACTCTTCTCAAGTGTCTCACATTGATAAACCGATATAACTTGTCCGCCCAAAAAGCCTGAAAGTTAATTCACTTAATTTGCAACTTTTCCGAACGCGAAAGTCAATGTATAAATTAATAGCCTTCAGTTTCCTGATGTATGGATTAATGAATGCTAAGAGGGTGGAAATTAAAGTGCTCTCGGCGCATGGCAACCGCACAAAAGCTCGCAGGCTGTCGGCGGTGTGATTATCGACATGTTGCAAGCAATTAAACTACATATAGGTCTACCTAAGTCATTACGCACGCAAGATCTTACAACGCGCAAAAAATTGATTAAATTCTCACTCAAGAGTTTTTTGTTCAACAACGTTTAACGACGAGGTTTTTGTATTTAAATATTTTATTTTAAATCTTCGAAATGAAAGGTTATTAATACTTAAAATGCCTAATACGCAAGCGCAAACTCCAACCCGTGACTAAAACCCGTGATTAAAGTACTTTAGTCACTACTTTACCTTTTCGTGTTTAAAATACGAATATTTGTGTCTTAAAACAGTGGAAAATAAAAAAAAAACATTTTTGTCTGTCAACAAGCTGCACCTCGTGACTAAAACCCGTGACTAAAGTACTTAACTCACGCCCTGTGTCGCCTGTGTTAAAAATACGACTCTTTGTGTCTTAAAACCGAGGAAAACAAAAAAAAACATGTTCTGTCTGTCAACAAGCTCCACCTCGTGACTAAAACCCGTGATTAAAGTACTTTAGTCACTACTTTACCTTTTCGTGTTTAAAATGCGAATCTTTGTGTCTTAAAACCAAGAAAAACAAAAAAAACATTTTTTGTCGGTCAACAAGCTCTAACCCGTGACTAAAACCCGTGACTAAAGTACTTTAGTCACAACTTTACCCGCCCGTGCTAAAAATACCATTCTCTGGGTCTAAAAACAGCAAAAAACAAAAGAAAAACATTTTTTGTCTGCCAAGTGTCACAGACATTGAGATATTTCAATCCGTGATTAAATTTCTTCACAAAATGAACTCCTTTCAGTCTTGCAAGATAATTATTCATAGAAAAACCAGGCTAGCCGTGAATATTAATTTTAATATTCATTTATATTAATGTTTTTTCTTTTTCATTGGAAGTGCTATGTTCGATACTTATATCTCATCTCAAATTTCTAGATTTTCTGGAGGATAACAGTGCAATGGTTGGCTGGAAATATCGCGTGTAAAATATTACTATTCCTGCGAGCTTTCGGCCTCTACCTGAGCAGTAACGTCCTGATGTGCATCTCACTGGATCGCTACTTTGCCATTTTGCACCCGCTGACAGTGACGAATGCCCGGAGCCGTGGAAAGACCATGTTGACATGTGCTTGGTTCGCATCCTTTGTCTACGCTATACCCCAGGTGAGCAATTGTTAATCTCCAGGTTTTATAAAGCACAGGATTTTATTTTTATTCTTTTGTGAATAAAAAGTTTCATTTCAAAGAAATATATTAATTTTTCTGTGTTTATGCTCCGCCTATGAGAGTTATGCGCATGCGCAGATGTTTTTTAGGTTATGCTTGGATATAGCTTGGTAATCTGATATGAATTTATCCCAAGTTAATTAATTTCGTTGAGTGTTGGAAATCCATTCGCTCATCTTCGCACCGGAGGGTCGGTGCTTCGAGTGATGATGATATTATATCACGACCATCTAATTAGTCGCGAATTATCGCCGTGACACGTCTGCAACGCATTGTGCGCATTGTTCGTATTTGATCTTTGCTAATTGCGCAATTATTGCCATTGTGATCATTCGTGCATATTAATTTTTAATCATTTTAATCGTATAAGTGTAAAATTATATGATTAATTATTTGTTTTGTTAAATTAACATAGTTTACAAGTTGTTTCAAGTTTGGCGGGTGTTACACAAAGTCTAAAGTGTCAAATTGTCAGAATTGTTGATGTTTTAAGATTAAGATGTGTGAGAATTTTGGGATTTGTATAGTATAGTAGCAGTTTGTATAGTACCAGGAAGGGATTAAACTAAGTTTTGGGAAAAGGGTTCAGCCGAAACAATATCAATCTTGATTAACTACATTAGTTGGGTATTTTCTTATAGAGAATTTCCTGTTGAATAAATATATTTAAGTTGCTTATTTCTATTGTTTTTAGTTTAAAAGATATTACCTATAAAAAAAAACCTCGAAAAAACATAACGCAGCACACCCCTGTGCCCATTTTTCCTTATAAAGTATTTTTCATCTTTTAGAATTCCAATTTAACCAAGCAATATTATAGAAAATAGTCCGTAGATTAAAACGCTGCGATCAGATCTTAATTATCTCTTTTAGTTTACGAAATAATCGCGATTGAATAAAATCGTCAAAAATTGATAAATGTCACTTTTTAGCACTTTCAGTCGCATTTTTCGACCTGTTACTGTAGGAAATATAATTATTTTACATTTTTATCTGGTAGAGAATTTCTCAATCTTTCAGAATCAGCAATTCGTTGGTCGCTAGCGCTTTTAGTTTAATAGATATTAATTATCAAAAATCGTCGATCAAAAGTATCAAGCACCCCCCCTTAGCAATTTTTTTCTTAAGAATGAAAATTTCATCTCACAGATTTCCGTTTTAACTAGCCTATCTTATAGAAAATAGTCCGTAGATTAAGACTCTGCGATCAGATCTTAATTATCTCTATTAGTTTACGAGATATACACAATCTAAATATCAAAAAAAATAGAAAAATTACATTTTTGCTCTCGTTTTTATCGATTTTGCGTATGCTAGTCACACAAATTGTGACGAAAAATAATAAACAATTTGAGTACTCACAATTTGATCAAACCCGACTGTCCTTTGACGTTGCGTTCGCTGACTAGACACAAAACCCACAAAGAGTCACAAAATTGCATTTCTGCGAATTTAACGCGTTGTTTATTTTTTATTCCGGTTCAAAATGGAATTAAATAAATATGCAGAGCAACAAATGAACACCCACTAAATTGGTAGTCGCTAACATTTCACACGCGATAAATAATTAGCAAAACACCCAACACGTCTGTTAACCGAGAAACATTTGCAATGGTGAAGCCAATAAAACACGTTTTACACGTACACGCGGAGCTGTAATAGCACAGAATAGCCGGAATAGCACAGCGAAGTGCATCAGTGAACATGCCGTAGCATGAAATCAAAAATGCGTGCCGTTCTCGCAGATAAAATGTTGTTTACAAACATTCGACTATTCATTTATGTTTAAAAATGCATTACTGTGCCATCTAACGAGTAATCTAACAAACTGGATTACTAAGTCACATTTGCATTTATTTTTGAATTTTTTACTTATGATTAATTCTTCAATTTTTATCTTTTTCATTCTATATTATTTTCTAATAGAGAATTTCAAGTTGATTAATAATTTTTAATCCGTTCTTTTCTATTTCTTTTACTTTCCGAGATAATCGCAATTGAAAAATCGAAAAAACAAAGACTGCTCTCCCATTATGCCATTTTTAATTATGAATTATTCCTCCACATCTTAAATTTCCATTTTCCTAGCTTATATAATAGAGAATTTTCCGTAGATTAAAAATCTTCAATCCGTTCCTCTCTATCTCTTTTACTTCCCGAGATATTCACCATCCAAATATAGATAGAAAACTCATCACTCTAAATTATTCATATCTCTATAATATTTTATAAAACTATAGTAATAAACTAAAAACTAAACATGAAACACGATTATCTAGTGCATACAACTTTGCGCGTGCGAAAAGTTTGATGTAGTTTCACGTGCGATAATAATATAAAGTTTCTCAAGGTGGAAAAGTAAAGTTAAAACAGTGTTAATATCTAATGTGTAAATATACTCTCGCGGAGATAATTTGATGCAGTTTTCGACCTGTTGAGTAGTGCTTTTGTAAACATCTCTTTGTCGTTGTGTTTTTCCTGTCGTTCACACGTCTATTCAGACTAAAATATTGAATTTTGCATTTTTAAGCAGAATTTTATATTTTCCACAAGAAAAATGCTCAAAGTTCATTTTTTGTTTAAAAAATTGCTACAACAGTATTAATTACGCTAGAAATATTGCAATACTATCAAATTATTAATTAGTTAATACTTTGTTTAATTATATATAGTTCTGCATTGTTTTATTGGTATTTAACCACCAAATTATTGTTTAAACAAGCAAAAAACACATTTTTTGTGAAAATTTGCACGTTTTTTTTTAATTTTCCAGCGAAATTTTAAAATTTTTCGAATTTAATTAAACAAAATTTTATGAAGAACTTTTTACTCTATCTATATAAAAAAGAATTAATAATTTATCTCTTTTAGTTTAAAAGTTATCCGCAATTTATGAACATGTTACCTTTTTTCATTTCATCAACTTCAAAACTATTTTTTTTTTGTTTAAAAAATTCCTACGGCAGTATTAATTACGCTAGAAATGTTGTAATTGCGTTAAATGATTAACAAGTCAATACTTTATTTAATTATATAAACTTCTCTATTATTTTAATAATATTTCACCACTAAATTATTGTTTAAACAAGAAAAAAAAAACACATTTCTTCGTAAAAATTCGTTTTTTTCAAATTTCCAGCAAAATATTAACTTTTTTCATTAAATTCTTTCTGTTTTAATTTGTCTAATTCCTAATTAATGCAAATTTATATTGTTTCAAATAATTTTCAATTTTTCCTAAGAAAAATACTTAAAAACAAAAGAAACTAACAAAAAAGTAACCAATTTAAAACTTTTAACTTAATCATTCATTTAATGAAAGACTAAAACGCGCAATAAGTTGCCCATAGTCTCCCAAAACTTCCCGGCATTCTTAACCAAACTTTTCGGCTTCCAAACAAGCAGCAACTCAAAAAACTTTCTGTTTCGCAACTCTCCGAATGTAATTCTCTAAAAAACACGAAAATACCTTCGAAATACTCGCGAAATACGACACTTATACATTTTAATGATGACAATAATAATAATAACCCACATAAAAAAAGCTTAACCTTGTATATGCGTGCCTTTGATGTTTGTTTGTTCTGTTTTTGCGTTCTTACAGAGCTTCATCTTCCACACGGACGTTCATCCGCACTTCGCCAACTTTACGCAATGCGTTTCGTTCGGCTTCTTCCGGTCGCAGGGGCACGAGATGCTCTACAACTTCCTGTGCGTCGTGTGCATGTACTTCCTGCCGCTGTCGGTCATCGCCGTCACCTACCCTGCAATCTGGTGGGAGATACGCAAGAAGTCAGCTGAACGCGCTGGAGGTGACGCATTCATTCTTTAAACAGACTTTTTTTTTTTTTGATTTTTCCTTTGTGTGGGTTGCCTACGGCCTCATTTTTTGTGGAATATTTTATTGTGATGTGTGAAGGACGATTTTTTATGAGACGCACGCAAATATTGATTCATTTTTTGTGGATTTAAGCCGGAAATAATTAGGTTTTCAGATATACAAAGCAAAAAGTGTAAAAATTTAAATATTTTGACATTTTAACGTCAAAAAATGAGAATTTTAGTGTTTATTTAGTCCTAGGGACAAAATAAACTAATTTTTAGGCTTGGATATTGCCTAAATCCACATTAGGTTATGTTTTGACAGTTTTATAACCTTAAAAGCTTATAGTTACCTGTATTACCGACTTATCTTGCTCCCAATTCAAAAATCTCATATAAAACTTAAATATTTTAAGTTAATATGATTTCTAACCTTAAAATTTTCCATTATTTTCCAGGTCGAGCATCAAAAAACACAGGATTACGTCGTTCCGATGACAAAGCGATCGAAAGAGCAAAAATACGCACACTACGCATGACAATCATGATTGTAGTTGTTTTCGTCGTCTGTTGGACCCCTTACGTCGTCCTGACACTATGGTATGCAACCAATAGTACAATATATTAATTATTATTGCATAGTGGGTTGCCTATATTTATTAAAAATCTATTTAGGTATATGTTCAGTCGAGATAGCGCCGAACGTATTACACCTTGGCTCCAAGAGGGCTTATTCATGATGGCCGCCTCGAATAGCTGCATGAATCCGATCGTCTACGGATCGTATGCAATTGATTGTCGCGCGATGTGCTGTCATCCAATATCAAGACGATCACATGCAGCACATTCACAGCAGATAAATCATTGTAAGAATAATCATTTTTCCAGCAGGGAAAAATCACATTTCTGTTGGTGACATTATAGAAATATTTTTCCTCTTGATAGCGAATGGTTCGCGGAATATTTCCGCTGCAAAATTGAATACGTTACCCCTGAGAAATCACCTGACAACTAAACAAAGTGAAACTACATCGGTGCCTCCTAAGGTGATGCAACCTAACCTATTTTCTGTGCTTTAGTGAGTGTAGAGGTTAACTTTGTGGTTTTAGACACGAGATGGCAACGCGCAACACTTCGTCAAGAATCATTTGCTTTGCATCGACTACATTCCCATGATGACGCTTGCAGGGGGTATGGACCAGCCGCCGCCACAGCCGCAGCCGCCGTCGCCAATCGATTGCCAATCACAGCTTAAATTAACTTTTTGATGAGGCGATTCGGTTGTGACACGTTATGTTGTTGATACTCAATAAAATTCTAGGCATTGATTGATCCAACGACTTTCATTTGTATATGTGATAAATAAATATGTGATATATAAACGACTCAAATATTTTTTACCTTTATACCACATTTAAACAATAAAAACAAGATATTGATAAATATTCTATCAAATCATACACACAGCGACATCTAGCGGATTTTTTTAAGAAGTAAAAAATCAATACCAGTGCATAGGTTGCCATCTAGAGTCAATTTTACGTAATATATTCTTGGTTATATTTATATTTTGTGTTTTGAGTGTTTCCTGTGCAATACACAATTAAAATCTCCACAAAAATGAATTCATCTAACAAGCCACGTACTAGTATACTCGATAAACCTTTAAGTAAAGGAAAAGGCGATGTTTCTCTGAGTTGTTTCGCGTTACTCTTCTCTGAAGTGGTGCAATACTCACAAAACAAGTCAAGCACTGTTGTCGAACTACAAAACAGGTGTGTAATTCTTTAAAAAATCATTCTATACATAATATTAATCAATTTACTTGTAGATTACACAGTCTGGGATATAATGTTGGCAGTAAAATCATTGATCTGTACTTTGTAAGAGAAAGAAATGCAAAAAGAGAAATCAAACTGTTGAATATTCTGCTTTTTGTAAAATCAACATTATGGAAGGTAATGATAATAAATCCAAGTGTTTTTTACCAAGTTATGCTAATGTTTTGCTTGTAGGCTTTGTTTGGAAAGGAAGCTGATAAACTTGAACATTCTAATGATGATGAAAACACTTACTATCTGATGGAGAAGGAGCCAATAGTCAATAAGTTTATTTCTGTACCAAGAGACAAAGGCAGCTTGAATTGTGCTGTGTTTGTTGCTGGAATTGTGGAGTCTGTGCTAGTTGGTACAGGTTTTGTAAGTATCCGCCATGTTGTTGATTTCGTTGTCATGGATACACGCCATAAGTATTATTTGATTGGCTATAGATTAGATTTTTGACATTTGACATCTAATATTTCAAATGTCATTTTTTACAATTTTACGTATAACTTTTGAATTATTAACTCTATTTTAATTATTTCTTCAGTTTTAAACATCTAGTGAGTTTCTCCTTCTACTCACATATAATATAAGCAATAAAATATTGTTTTTAGTGGTTTTTACGTAGAATTTCTTGTTTTTCTGTCCGCAGGCCGCAAAAGTAACTGCGCATTGGCACAAAGGCACAACATACATGGTGAAATTCGATGATGCGGTTGTGGCGCGTGATAAGCAGCTGGAAGACAGATAAGTAATGATTAATACATGTGCAAAGCATCAACAATTCCACAATTATTGAACAATTGTTAATATAATACCATTCAACTCTATTTACACGAATTGCATTTAATTTATTATGATTTTCGCTAGTATTACTATGTTAGCAATATAAGATTGATGAATTTAGATGAATTTGAATCGACGGTCCTTGTAGGCGACTTGTCCGGTGCGGTACTTCTCTTCGTCTCGTTCTCTCTGCGTTTTAAAGATGTACATGGTCGCAGCCAGCGGTATAACGACGCAGAATAATCCAGTGCGGACGTTTTTAGCGTTTGCTTTGAAATGTTCAAAGGAACTCAGACGCATGGCACCGAAACGTTGAATTGCTGGATCAAACTACAAAAAAAAGCAAAAATATTGAAAATTTCTTAAGATTTTGATTAATTTTATTCAAATTTCACGTGATTTTGTGTTGTGGCGACTGATAAAAGTATTATTTGTGTGTAGAAACAAGAATTATGTTTAAAACAAGCTTAAAAAAGGTAGAAATAACCTAAAATCAACAAAAGTTGGGTTAAAAACATCAAAATACATAAAAATTAGTGTAAAATTCGCGTCAAATTCACGAAAACCTAAAATATTTATAAATTTTCATTGTTAAAACACGCGTTAATGAAGGTTTATTCATTTTTTGATCAAAATAACCTCAAAAAAGGTATAAATAACCTGAAAATCAACAAAACTTAGGTTAAAACATCAAAACTCATAACAATCTAAGAAAAATTGGGTTAAATCCGAAATATTCATTAATAAAACACGAGTTAATGAAGATTTATTCATTTTTTGACCAAAATAACCTCAAAAATTCAAAAATAACCTCAAAACAAACAAAAATGACGTTAAAATCGTTAAAATTCATCAAAATGCAAGAAAATTGACAAAAAACTAATATTTTTATAAATTTTCATTAATAAAACACGCGGTAATGAAGATTTATTTATTTTTTGATCAAAATAATCTCAAAAACACAAAATTAACCTCAAAACAAACAAAAATAACTTTAAAATCATCAAAATTCCCCTAAAAAATTAATCACTTTCTGTAACATTTAGATTAATTTAATTTAAATCTGATGATTTGTACATGAATTCAATTACGCAATGATTTATTTGTTCAACGAGCACATTTGACCAATACATTTGTGAATGTTAAAGTTGAGTTGAATCGTCGATCAATGACGTGCAGCTCAATTACGAACGCTACGAAGGCCCATCACGCGCTCGCAATAAGCATAATCACCCGTGGAATACATGAATTTATACAACGACAAAACATAATCGCGCGGCTAAATACCGTCACCCGTCAAAACGCTAAAAAACAATATCACCACCTTACGCAAGTCATTTGTTGTGTATTTCTGTGAAGCAGATAGAAAGTGTCGAAGCGACGAGCCACGTGTTTTTCCCCATGGCAAGCAATCTAAATCGTTGTATTTATTTTTTGTCTTGTTGTCTCGTTGAGTTGACAGCAAACATTTCACTTTTTTCAGCGTGCTTGATTGGATTGATTGTCAATCGGTCAAATGTTAGTGGGTCATCGAATTATAACATTAAATAAACATTACAAACGATTTTAAGGATGCGGTATGCGCGAAATGATGAATTTTGAATAAACATCATTGTTGTAATCTCTTTTGTGAAAGCGCAAGTCTGGTGGGAATTTCAAAGCGGTAATCAATCGCTTATCATCGAATTAATGTTTTTTAGCTTTTTTGCTGATAGATACAAGTGGTACTTGTGCATGGAAACAGAAATTATGAATAAAACATGCGTCAATGAAGGTTTTTTACTTGTTTTTTGTACAAAATGCGGCAAAATGACAAAAATCACGTTAAAAAAATTGAAAAGTAGGTTAAAAACATATAAATTCATGAAAATTAAAGTAAATTACACGATAATTTGACCAAAATATAAAATATTTATAATTTTCATTAATAAAATACGCGTTTATGAAGATTTTTACTGTTTTTTGTTGAAAATTGTGTCAAAAAACTTCAAAATAACAAAAATTAGGTTAAAATTTACAAAATCCAAGTAAAATTCACGATGAATCGACTAAAATTTAATATTTTGTTCATATTTCATTAATAAAACATGCGTTAATGAAGGTTTTTTACTCGTTTTTTTTGTAAAAATGCGTCAAAATGACAAAAATCATGTTACAAAATTGAAAATTAGGTTAAAAACATAGAAATTCATAAAAATCTAAATGAATATCACGATAATTTGATCTTAATTTCAAATATTTATAATTTTCTTTGATGAAACATGCGCTTATGAAGATTTTTGATGTTTTTTGATAAAAATTGCGTCAAAAAGTCAAAATAATTTCAAAACAACAAAATTTAGGTTAAAAATCGCAAAATCAAAATAAAATTTACGATAAATTGACTAAAATTTAATATTTTTATAATTTTTCATTAATAAAACATGCGTTAATTTAGTTTTCTCTAATTTTTTGCCAAAAATAACTTCAAAACAAGTAAAAATTACGTTAAAACCATAAAAATTCATAAAAATTCACGTAAATTCTTTCTAAATCCAATCAAATCTAAAATATTTGTAAATTTTCTTCTAAATGTCACGCAAATATCGTAACCGCGTAGGAAGACACTGAAGACCTATGCAAATGCGTACTTTGTGCCTGATTGCACCTCTCGTAAACTCTCGGCGCGCATCATCCTCTCTGCGAAAAGAATAAATGAAGGAAAAGACTTTCGCGAGTTTCAATATTCATCTAACTCGCAACGCGCGCGTACCTAACAAAAAAAATCCACAAGTGATTAATCATAAACTAAAATTACAAGTTTCCAAGAAAGAAAAAAATCAAATAACAATCAATAATTACCTTTAAATCAACAAAAACACAATGAAATTCCGCGTAAAGTTGTTAATATTAACAACGTGCGCGGTTTTTACAACTGCACAACGATATAATCACCAACGGCGGCAGATCCTGCCTGTAGCGCCGCAATTCCCAACCGGAAATATAAACGCGGGTGTTTCCGGCACGGGACAAGCAAATTTTGATGTTAATATCATCGGTCCACGGCAAAGAAATGAACAGACAATTGAAGAAGCATGGAATAACTTCAAGGTAACAAAAATAACAAAAAAAAATTTAAAAAATAAAAAATCTATGCTCTGAGATGCGGTATAAGTACCGAACATACATTATTCCTGTATATATTAATTTTAGATAACCTTCAATAAAATATACAGTTCCCAAATGGAAGAAAATTACCACCGTGAAGTTTTCATCGAAAACACCGCGAAAATCTTCCGCCTGAACGACGATTACGCAAAGGGTTACATAAGTCACGCGCAAAAAATCAACGGATACGCTGATATGCTCCACCATGAATTTGACAACGCTCTGAACGGATTTAACAGATCACGGATAGGTTTGGATATGAATATTATCCCTACACAAAGATCCAGCGCGTTTATCGCGAGCGCAAACGTCCGCAAAGATCCAGCGCGTTTATCGCGAGCGCAAACGTCCCGATTCCGGATTCCATCGATTGGCGTAAACTGGGCGCTGTTACGCCTGTGAGGAGTCAAGGATTATGCGCGGGTGTTATGCATTCAGTGCAGTAAGTCAAAAAGTAAAATTAAATAATTTTAGCCTAAAATTTAAAATCGCTTATCATGGAATTAATGTTTTTAGTTGTTTTGCTGATAGTTACAAGTGTTGCTTGTGCTTGGAAACCGAAATTATGAATAGAACATGCGTCAATGAAGGTTTTTTACTCGTTTTTTGTACAAAATGCGTCAAAATGACAAAAATCACGTTAAAAAATTGAAAATTAGGTTAAAACGTAGAAATTCATGAAAATTAAAGTAAATTACACGATAATTTGACCAAAAATATAAAATATTTATAATTTTCATTAATAAAATACGCGTTTATAAAGATTTTTGCTGTTTTTGTTGAAAATTGTGTCAAAAACTTCAAAATAACAAAAATTAGGTTAAAATTCACAAAATCTAAGTAAAATCCACGATAAATTGACTAAAATTTAATATTTTTTAATTTTTCATTAATAAAACATGCGTCAATGAAGGTTTTTACTAGTTTTGTTTTGTAAAATGCGTCAAAATGACAAAAATCACGTTAAAAATTGAAAATCAGGTTAAAACGTAGAAATTCATCAAAAACTAAGTAAATTTCACGATAATTTGACCTTAATTTCAAATATTTATAATTTTTTTCATGAAACATGCGCTTAGGAAGATTTTTGCTGTTTTTGTTGAAAATTGTCTCAAAAACTTCAAAATAACAAAAATTAGGTTAAAATTCACAAAATCTAAGTAAAATCCACGATAAATTGACTAAAATTTAATATTTTTTCATTTTTCATTAATAAAACATGCGTCAATGAAGGTTTTTTACTAGTTTTTTTGTACAAAATGCGTCAAAATGACAAAAACACGTTAAAAAATTGAAAATTAAGTTTAAAACGAAGATATTCATGAAAACTAAGTAAATTTCACGATAATTTGACCTTAATTTCAAATATTTATAATTTTCTTTCATGAAACATGCGCTTATGAAGATTTTTGCTGTTTTTGTTGAAAATTGTCTCAAAAACTTCAAAATAACAAAAATTAGGTTAAAATTCACAAAATCTAAGTAAAATCCACGATAAATTGACTAAAATTTAATATTTTTTCATTTTTCATTAATAAAACATGCGTCAATGATGGTTTTACTAGTTTTTGTACGTAGAAATTCATCAAAAACTAAGTAAATTTCACGATAATTTGACCTTAATTTCAAATATTTATAATTTTCATTAATAAAATACGCGTTTATAAAGATTNAATATTTATAATTTTCATTAATAAAATACGCGTTTATAAAGATTTTTGCTGTTTTTTTGTTGAAAATTGTGTCAAAAAACTTCAAAATAACAAAAATTAGGTTAAAATTCACAAAATCTTAGTAAAATCCACGATAAATTGACTAAAATTTAATATTTTTTTCATTTTTCATTAATAAAACATGCGTCAATGAAGGTTTTTTACTAGTTTTTGTTTTGTAAAAATGCGTCAAAATGACAAAAATCACGTTAAAAAATTGAAAATCAGGTTAAAAACGTAGAAATTCATCAAAAACTAAGTAAATTTCACGATAATTTGACCTTAATTTCAAATATTTATAATTTTCTTTCATGAAACATGCGCTTAGGAAGATTTTTGCTGTTTTTTTGTTGAAAATTGTCTCAAAAAACTTCAAAATAACAAAAATTAGGTTAAAATTCACAAAATCTTAGTAAAATCCACGATAAATTGACTAAAATTTAATATTTTTTTCATTTTTCATTAATAAAACATGCGTCAATGAAGGTTTTTTACTCGTTTTTTGTGCAAAATGCGTCAAAATGACAAAAATCACGTTAAAAAATTGAAAATTAGGTTAAAAACGTAGAAATTCATGAAAAACTAAGTAAATTTCACGATAATTTGACCTTAATTTCAAATATTTATAATTTTCTTTCATCAAACATACGCTTATGAAGATTTTTGCTGTTTTTTTGTTGAAAATTGTGTCAAAAAGCTTCAAATTTTTGTAGGCTGGAGCACTCGAAGGACAATATTACCGTAAAACTGGCGTCCTCACCGACTTAAGCCCACAGAATTTAATCGACTGTACAAAGGATTATGGTAATAATGGCTGTAATGGAGGATTAATGAATCCAGCCTTTCAATATGTCAAGGATAACATAGGAATTGACACAGAGAATTATTACCCGTACGAAGCAGCCGATAATCAATGTAGATACAAACCGGAAGGTTTTGGCACGGATAGTACAGGTTATGTCACCATACCGGAAGGTGATGAAGAAGCTTTGCGGGTTGCCGTTAGTACGATAGGTCCGATTTCCGCCGCCATTGATGCGAGTCGTGATTCATTGCAGTTTTATTCCGATGGGGTTTATTTTGATGCGGCGTGTAAGAATGCGACGAATGATATGAACCATGCGATTTTAGTAGTTGGATATGATACGGATCCGGATGGGAAACAGTTTTGGTGGGTGAAGAACTCATATGGGCAACAGTGGGGAATTGGAGGTTATGTCAAGATGGCAAGGAATGCGGGAATCACTGTGGGATTGCTTCACTTGCGAGTTATCCTTTGGTTTGATATCTTTTGAGGATGTAATATGATAAATGTTGATACATAAAGCGAGAATGTGTTGTTTTGTGTTGTGTTATGTCATCAATTAGGAGGTTAAATGATATTTAGATGTAGAAGTACTCACGACATGTCCGCCTTCGCCAGATGCATGTCGAAATGGGTCGGATTGTTGTTTGAGGAATTCATTGCGTAGTTCCAGGCGTCTTTTGGCGTTGGCTTTTAGTCTTTCGATGTCTTTCGCGGCCAAATCGTATTGTTCAGCCATTTTTTACTCACTATAGGTAGATACAAATACAGCTGACAGTGTTAGGGATTTTGACTGATTGTGTTACCAACGTTTAGGGAACTTTAGTTTGTTACTAAAACAATTTTTGAAGTTTATTTTTTGTTTAAGTACGTTTAAACAATTGATTAAACAATAACAACGCATTATATTATTAAATATAAATATAATACAATTTATAAATTAATAATATATAAGTTTTGTTAGTGTTTTATGCATTTTACAAACAAAAAATTACAAATTGCGCACTAAACAGTTTGAATGTTAGGGTTCTTAGGGTGCTTTCACTACCAACTTCTAGTTTGTTACTAAAACATCACTACTTTTATTTTTTTGAATTTATTTTTTGTTTATTAGTTTAAAAACAATTTATTTAACAATAACAATGCATTTTATAATTAAATTTAAATATAATACAATTTATTGATGCTTTTGGTTAGTGTTTAATATATTTTAAGAACAAAAAAACTACAAATTTTAAACTAAACAGTTTGAAAGTTAGGGTTATTAGGATGTTTCCACTACCAACTTTTAGTTTGTTACTAAAACATCACTACTTTTATTTTTTTTGAATTTATTTTTTGTTTATACGTTTAAAAACAATTTATTAAACAATAATAACACATTTTATCACATAAAACGTATAAAATACAACCTATTGACCTATAATTTACGTCTTTTGTAAATATTCAACACATTTTAAGATAAGATAAAGACGTTTTTCTGTATAATCCATAATTAATTATTTATATTTAACCAATAAACATTTACCATCACTATGTATCAATTATTTAACTACATTAATCACTAATAATCATTATAATTCATTTACTTTACATATAATCACTAAAAAACTAACAAAAATCACAAAATTCTCCGAAATAATTAATTCTTTTGTTTTACCATTGAAGGACGCCATTTTGAATCACTATTATTGATAGTATAAACTATTTAAACCACAGAATGTGATTGGGCCGCTTCGGATCAATGCGCAAGACATTTTATCACCGTGCATGGAGGGGAAAGACTGAATCAGCCAGTCCGGAGGTCGATGATTCAACAGACAGCAAAACGCAAAACGGACCATCTGATGATCTGACCTAAACAAAAACAGGGAAGTTACTTGCTGGCGGCATTCGACGGTCGAAATCAGTTGGATTCCGTGCTCTGCTGAGTGAACAACTTGTAATACAACACCAAAAAACGCAATAGAAACCAGTAAGTGAACAATGAACATAAAATTTCAATGTTTTTGCTTTAATTCAACATTAAACTATTATTTAAACAATAATTATGCAATAAATTAATTATTTACAAGTATTTAAATCATATTCACGTATTTTTAGTTAATTTTAATGTTTATTTTGTGATGAAATAGTGATTTTTACAAAATGGCGAAATTTTTATGATTTTTTCTTTGTTTTGATTGATTTCAAAATGGTGGTACACATGCACAACGTGATTTTCTAATGTTTTCTTTGTGTTCTTCGCAGGTATGAAGGGATTACTGGTTCTGGCCGCCCTTGTAGGGATCGCTCAGTGCGTGTCCTTCTTTGACCTTGTCTCGGAACAATGGGCATCTTTTAAGGTATTTTTTCTGTACATAATCACGTGTTTCCCCTTCACACACACACACACAACCATAACATTTGTGTGTGTTTTTACGATCTGTGACTTCACAACATGCGAATTTGGAAGTTGAGTTCGCAGAATGCCACTAATCCAATTAGCAACTTGTTTTTTTGCTTCTAATTGGATTATTTTCATGCTGGATATTCAGATATGATGAATAATGATCACGCGCGACATTTTAATCGCTGGCCGTTGTGACTTTCGATGACCTCAGGGCACAAATACGCTTCAATTCGGTCCTGTTATCAAAATAGTTTGTTTTTGTTCATACGATTGTGCATTGTTTACAATTTACAATATTATCCATATCAAATTGCATGTTTTATATTTACATGAATACAAAATGGCGACTGATTATTTATTTTGATCAATTTTTATTGCTTTTAGCTGCAACACAAGAAAGAATATGACAGCGAAACAGAAGAGAAGTTCAGAATGAAGATTTTCATGGAGAACGCACATAAAGTAGCCAAACACAACCAGATGTACGAGATGGGACTGGTTAACTACAAATTAGGAGTGAATAAATGGGCGGACATGTTGCATCATGAGTTTGTGCACACCGTCAACGGATACAATCGCAGCCTGGGTAGATCCAGTGGATTATTCCAGGATGAGAATGATAAGGGTGTTACTTTTATTTCTCCTGCTCATGTTACCGTCCCCAAGGAAGTGGATTGGCGTAAAGAGGGCGCTGTCACCGTTGTGAAGAACCAGGGACATTGTGGATCCTGCTGGAGTTTCAGTGCGGTAAATATTTCTTCTTTTCATACAGAAAACATGAATAAAATCATTACTAACCTAATTTTTTCTGTAGACTGGAGCTCTTGAAGGTCAACACTTCCGTAAAACTGGTAAACTCATCTCCTTGAGTGAACAGAACTTGATTGACTGCTCTGGTAAATACGGTAACAATGGTTGCAATGGCGGCCTCATGGACAACGCCTTCCGTTACATCAAAGACAACCATGGTCTGGACACAGAGAAAACCTACCCATATGAAGCCGAAGATGACAAATGCAGATACAACCCGAAGAACTCCGGTGCCACTGATAAGGGCTTCGTTGACATTCCCTCTGGTGATGAGGAAGCCCTCATGAAAGCCATTGCAACCATTGGACCAGTGTCTGTTGCCATCGATGCCAGCCAGGAGACCTTTCAATTATACTCCGAAGGAGTTTATTATGATCCCAAATGCAGCAGTGAGGAATTGGATCATGGTGTCTTGGCTGTTGGTTATGGCACCACTGAAAAGGGCGAAGATTATTGGTTGGTGAAGAACTCCTGGGGTGACAGCTGGGGTGATGGTGGATACATCAAAATGGCGAGGAACAGGGACAATCATTGTGGCATTGCTACCCAATCCAGCTATCCTTTGGTTTAGTGTGAATTCAGTGAAGATTCTTTTGTATTGTAATCATTTTTAGAGTTAAGTTGCTCAAAATGCCAAAAACGAATAAATAGAGTTATTTTAAGCCGTGTTTGTTGGTAAAACACAGACAATAACCCGCAATCTTTTATTGAATGATTAAATAAAAGCAAAAAACACTTTTCTTCAAGCATTTATACATGAAAAAAAAACACTTTCAGTTGATGTTTTGCTCTGAATGTGAACAGAAATGAAAAGTTTGGTTATCCTGGTCGCCATTTTGAGACATACCCTTTGTGGGTCTTATTATGATGAGGTAACACGACAATGGGGAGCTTACCTGGTAGGTACCAGCCTAAAACCATGTATATCTTGTTAATAAACACAATTTTAAGGCTCAGGAAGATAAACAATATGATAGTGAGACTGAAGAGAAGTTCCGGATGAAAGTGTTCATGGAAAACGCTCATAAAGTCATCAAACACAACCAATTATACGATATAGGCTTGGTGAATTATAAATTATCCCTCAATACATGGTCTGATATGCTGCACCATGAGTTTATCCACATTGTAAATGGTTACAACAGAACTCTGGACCCTTTTGATGACACAAAAGAAGGTCCTGTTGCTTTTATCCCTCCTGCACATGTCTGCATGCCTAAGGAAGTGGATTGGCGCACAGAGGGAGCTGTTACACATGTCAAGGACCAGAAACAATGTGGGTCCTGTTGGAGTTTCAGTGCTGTAAGTGAAAACACCAAAACACTTCAAATTTTAATGTTTTTGTACCAGACTGGTGCCCTGGAAGGACAACACTTTCGTAAAACATCTAAACTTGTCTCCTTGAGTGAACAGAACCTGGTTGATTGCTCTACCAAGTATGGTAACCATGGTTGTAATGGCGGAAACATGGATAATGCATTTCGTTATATAAAAGACAATAAAGGTATTGATACTGAAGAGGCTTATCCCTATGAAGCTAAGGATCAGAAGTGTGCGTACAATGCGAAGAAATCCGGCGCCATTACCAATGGTTTTGTTGATTTACCAAAGGGTAATGAGGAAGCATTGATGCAAGCTGTTGCTACTATTGGTCCCATTGCAATTGCAATCGATGCAAGTCAAGAAACATTCCAACATTACTCCAAAGGTGTTTATTATGAGCCTAAGTGTAAAACAGAAGATTTGGATCATGCTGTTTTAGCAGTTGGGTACGGTACCACTGAAAATGGTGAAGATTTTTGGTTGGTGAAAAACTCCTGGGGGACTAGTTGGGGTGATCAGGGTTATATTAAAGTGGCTAGGAATAGGGGTAATCATTGTGGTGTCGCAACAGAAGGCATTTATCCATTAGTTTAGTTTATTTATTAATTAAATTATTTTTATTTATAAAGCAAAATTACAGTTTTCTTTTTTTAGTTTATTAGGTTGCGATAGATGGCGTTGGTGGTTGTTTTGTGCAATATTTTTCTGTTTAGTTTATTTGTGTGCCGTGCAGATGGCGGTTGAGTTAATGTAGCAGCCGAAGTAAGTTCGTGCGTGTACGGTGAACGGGCCTAGCCGAGCGCGCCGCGCGTTGCCGTTCGTTCGATGCGCCGTTTCAGGTGCGCCGTGACCGTTGCGTTGTCTAGATTCTTTGTACCATTCCTGGCATACCAATAACAAGAGTGGCGTTCTCGTATTTACGGGCCGATATCCGTCCCGATTTGTGCGGCAGCCGGCGGCGAGCGTCTCCGACACGATTTTCGGTAAGTACTGCATCGATATCGGCGGCGGCGGCGCCTCCACGCCGCGTCGGCGTCGTCCGCACGGCGTCGGGAATGCGAGCAATGCGTCCGCAATTCCTACAATAGTTTACATACTTGTCATGCCTGTGTGTGCGCGTCGATGCCGTCGGTGCGTCGAGCGCGCCGTGAGCGCACACGGCTCTCCGAAACCGCGCGGCGTCGTCGACGAGCCGCCTCTCGCAATCAACTCGCGACAAACGAAACAAAAACGCATCGCGCGATTAATACACGCAGCGGATCAACGCGGAGCGGTGCGAATATTGTGCGCTGGAAGAAAAATGTGCTTGCGGCGGGCGGCGGCCGCCGGTGGTGTGAGCCGCGATCGTCAACTGTTTCCGTCGTTGTCACGGCAACTGTCAACAAATTAATCGCGACCATCTTTTCACGCACACGATTTCCATTTGTTTCGGTTCAAACAAGTGCAGCAATCGCTTGGATTACACACATTTAACCAACAAAACAAGAGTTTTAAGTTGTATCATAAGTTTCTAATAAGTTCCAATTGTTGTTAATGTGATTTTCCGCGACCAACCAGCTTAAATGAACGCTTGGTTCAGCTCAGGTTAGTAAAACTTAAAAAACGCGTCAATTCCAATAGGAATTCGCGTATATTTCAAGTGATTTTGTTGTTAATTTACAAGTTATTGACGTAAGCTGAAGTAAATTAACAAATACCACTGGTTTACTGCTTGATCATCATCGTAAACGGAATGTTTTGGTTTTCTTCCGCTTGAAATCCACATTTTTTGAGTGTTTGCGGTGTCGTTTGATGTAAAAATATCAATTTTTTTTTCAAAAAATAGTTTTTTACTTAATTACGCCTGGAAAAATGAATATTTGTGAATTATTTTAATTACCAACCGGGGAAAACGGCTGGAAATTTCGTAATGCATATTTTGCATTCTCTATGCAAAGTAAATAAGTAATTAAATATGATTAGCGAGTTTTTTCCCGAAAAAAATCGTGTTTTTCGGTTGATTTTTGTCATTTTTTGCGTTGCAACTCTCGAAAAAATTGAACCTTGTCGGGGTACACTTGTTGATATCTCGTAAAATTTACCGAAATACTCGTAAAATCAAAAGTGTAGCGTAAAATTTTATTGGGTATTGTTCACGTGATCGATCTGATTATGTTTTCAATCGCGCGTCATTATTTGACGCAAATCATCGATTAATTAAGAAATTTCTTAGAAATTCAGCCACAATAAATTCATAATTATGCAAGAATATGTGGATTTATAACTTCCTTTGCTGTGCGCGCCTCGAAATTCATACTATAATCGAATAACGCATAGAAATGTGTTATAAAACGGTTCCACTAGAGTAGTTTTCTATTTGTGAGCTGAAAAAAAAAAAAACGCAAAGAAAGACGATTCAAGTTTACTTTTTCTTACCCAATTGCTCAACCGTGCGTTATGTTATGTTATGTTATGTTATTTAGTTTTGCATGTTTGGTTTTTGCCGCTTTTGTTGCGTTATTATTACTTATTACGTTATCGCTTGCAGTTATTACGTAGAAAATAAAATTTTATTTTTTTGCAAATGTAAAAATATATCGTAGGTGTTGAAAAAACCGGTATATCAATATTTTTATTTAAAAAAAATACCGAATACCGGTATATTGAACTTAAAATTCAGGGTTTGGAGATTTTATTATGTTGTAGGGAACAAAAAACTAACAAATATTGAGATTTTACGTGTTTTGCATCTGTTTAATCATTTGTAAGCTGATTTTAAATTTAATTACTTAAGTAAAAATGCCGGTAAATATTTCCTGAAGTCTAAAAATGAATTCCGCGTCGCTCAGTTGTATTCACTTGTGTTTTGTTTAAATAATTTTGTTGTAACTGTTTGTGCACCTCAAGAAATACGCAGAAAAATCATGTTTAACTTATAAAAATTTACATTAAAATTTGTAGGGATGTGTAGATCATAATTACAACAATATTTCAAATGTTACCATCGATATCATGTCTTAAGAAAAATATTCTAAGTCATAATTTTGCAAGAAATAAAAATATTTTTCGTTGTTACACCGAAAATTTTATATAAACTTATCAAGTTTTACTGATTTCATTGTTCTTTGGAGTTTTCATGGTAATTTTTGATATTTTGCGGGTTTTGACTGGAAGTAGAACAAAGAAATGGAAATATAGAGCTAGACAAATAAATTAAGAGCGACGCGGCGCGTTTTTAATCGTTTTGCAGGCAATGCAGAGTGCAATTTAGGTGCGAAACTGTATAAGTGTACACTCTGGGTACACTTGTACACACACGTGGTCGAGAAATTGAAATCGGCGTCGACGACATTTACGACGGCGCGCGACGCTCGCAGAGCAAAACGACGACACACGCACTAATTTTAGACGATGGACATCGAGTCTCCCAAGTCGCTTCTAGACTCCTGTGACTTTACAAAGAGAAATTATATTCTCATTCAAAAAATTTTAAAATTTTTATTCATTTTTATCTAAAAATTAATATTATTACATGTTATGTTTATTATTATGATTATTTTTAATCTATGGTCAAGGTGTACACAATTAGAGATGAGCGCGTATCTCCAATTCGCTTCGATTCGAACGAATGCGGCGATTAGTTGGCTGCCGCCGCGTTGTCGATGTGTTTATAGATGACATTTGATTTCCGTTATTTATAGAAATAGAGTTTGACTGCTGTGTGGCGACCACTGAAGCTGTTGGCTTCTCAAAGTATCACAAAACTCAACACGAGTAACAAAATCCCAGCGTATAAATATTATAGATGGCGCTATGTGTCATGTAACTATTCTAACCTCAAATCTACACTCTCCCCGAAACTGATTATTTTCATTTCCGAAGACGCGTTACATAAAATCACTCACAACATTAAATAAACACACTAGAAATCAAAAAAGCAGTCTGCGGTTGGTTAATGTTTGCGAGGAAATAACTTAAGTAAGTAGGTAACCTGAGACTTAACGTATTTAAACTATAAAATCGTCGATGAACAGTTTTTTTTCCTTCTCGTGGTCTTTCCTGCGATGTAAAATAATCTCCGAGAGGATTTAATTGATATTTTACGATCGATTAAATTCATATTACTTGCTATCACTTATCTATCAGCAAGAAGCATGAATTAAACCACAAAGAAGACGAGAAACAGTTAGAAATCACTTTAAATTTATTTTTCTCTAAAAAATAAAGTTTTTACATTGTTTTTATCAAGTTTAACTTAAAACTAATTTATTTATGTACTTGCGACTTGTTTTTTTTCTTTCGATGTCTGTGTCTGTTGACCGTCTTGGCGTCTTCTTCGACGCACACTCGACACACCGTTAACTCATTAGCATAGTCATAGGCTGCGAGCGACGCCCATTGCGGGTTCCAAGTCGAAGTTTACGGTGTTTTCTTCAGTACCTTCCGCGAGTGAAAGGTAATAAATAATCCTAAGTACGGTCCTGTGAGACTTTAAAACGCTAAAAATAATTGTTGCCGCTTTATAAACGCAGTAGGTAAACGTAGACAAAAGGGTGGTTTGTGTGGGCTGAAAGGTTTCGACTTGCGCTCCGCGCGCGCGGGAGGATGTGGAATAACATCAAAGGCGCTTTTGATAAAACACACGATATCAAACGAGCAACAATGCTGCGTGTCTGCATAAAGGCAACTTTGTGACATTCAACACGTTTACTCGCGTCCTGGTTTGATGTATCGCTCCGCGGCGGTCGAGATAATGAAATAAACCCTTTGATAACAAAATACTACCTACGGGTGTATTTTTGACATTGGATCAACTCTAGAGTTGGTACCAAACAGGTGTGTTTTGCTGTAAAATTTGTTTTTTTTTTCTTTTTTGCGTTGTACAAGAGTTTATAGCTTCTTTAACGTTTAACATTAAATGTTTTAAGCTTTGTATGCGCGCGCTGATGATAGTTAAGTGCGCTGCGTTTCCGCTTGAAAGCCGCGAGCGCATGCGCACTTAAACCTTTTATAGTATTCCTCGATTGTTTGGTTTATATTAATTTCTTTGTGTAACGACGTAAAATATTTTTATTTTGAGCAAATTATTAGCGGAAATATATATTTTCAACCGGTATTTCGGTATTTTATTTAAAATTATTTAAAAAATACTTTTATTTAGTTCAAAACATTTTTTTAAATTTTTCTAAATCCGGTCCTGTTATCACCACTACTTAATTCCCAATAAAATTAAATTTCTTGTAAGCTAAAAACATAAAATCAACACAAAAAAAAATGGAGGCTTTTGTCTCTTCTCGTGTGCGATGTGCGACTAAAATACTTCTCTTCGTTTGGCGCGCTTCGAATTTCTCGTCCGCCGGCCGCCATTCCGCTCGGCGTGCCGGCTTCGCTTTCGATGTTTATCTCTGGAATTAAGCGTTCCATATATCTGTAACAAGTGTCCGGGATTCCTAGACATTTTTAGCGTTCTACCCGATGAGAAAAAAACGCGCGCGTCCGATGATGTGTTTCAGTCTCCTCGGCTTTTTTCTTTATTTGTTTTGAGCGCGCAAGCGCAAGCGCGATTCTCGGTAATATAAGCGATGAGACTGTCGTCTTCGGTTGGCCGTAGGCCCGGTGTGTTTGTTTTAATTGAATCCTTTTGATTTTGACCGACGTTGTGCGACAAAGCACAACTTCACTCTCTTCTTCTCTGCGCCAGCAGGTAGATTAATAATGTTGGGTCCATCCACTTCCACCACTTCTGCGCGCTTCGTGGGCTTATGGGTGGAGAGTGGTGGGGGTGGTGGAAGCGAAGAAACTAAGCGAAACGATTACCTCGTTGACCTTTTATGCGATGGATGTGAGGAAGCCGAGTGTGTCGCTGATCAAATAGGCCTGTTCATTTATCATTACCTACAAAACTTTGACATCGTGTGAAAAAAGTTAGGTTTATATGGGATACCGGTTTGATATTGGAGCCATTTTTATTTGTTTTTGGGTTTATTTATCATCGTCAATATAATTTTTTAATTTTTTAGTTAAAAATTGTTAATACGGATCTGGAATTGGGGCAGTTTTGAGTTTTTTAGTTTTATTTGATATTATTTTGCTTGAAAATTATTAATACGGATCTGGAATTGATGTAATTTTTATTTTTATGCTTTATTTGACATATTTGACTTAAAAATCATTAATACGGACCTGGAATCTAACGTTTTCTTAATTTTTATGCTTATTTATCATAAATAACCTAATTTTTGACATTTTAAGCTTAACATTTCATAATACGGGCCTGAAATTAACCACATTTTGAGTTTTTACCTTAATTCTTGAAGTTTTTTGATTAAAAATCATAATTCCGGTCCTGATATTACGTTTCTAACCTTATTTAAACCCTATTTTGTGTTATTTAACACAAAAATGATAATTACGTGCCTGATAGTGACGCCATTTTGATTTTATTTTTAACTATTTGTGTTTATACTGTATGCAATCGCGAATATTTCGCGTTGCGATGCTTTTGTCGTCGGCGATAACAACTTGCGCGATGCGTAATTAGAGGCATAATCGCTGTTGACCTTTTCGATATGCAAATTTAATTTTTCCACAACTATACTCACAAA